TTCACCCGCCCCCCGGCGCCACCTCCCCTCCCTCCCTGCCCAGTGTCTGCCCGCGCCCAGGGACCTCAGCCCCGCCCTACCTGCCCAGTGTCTGCCCGCGCCCAGGGACCTCAGCCCCACCCTACCTGCCCAATGTCTGCCAGCGCCCAGGGACCTCAGCCCCGCCCTACCTGCTCCTTCACAAAGAGCTGGAGCCCCAGCTGCTGCAGCCCCTCGTACAGGTGGAGACTGGTTTCTTTGTGGAGTTTCCAGGAGTTCTGCAGCCCCTGTGCCAAAGGGGAGAAGAGCAGAGCCATTAGCCAGCAGGATCCTGCCCAGGGCCGGGCGTGTGACAGGCAGACGCACCCTGGGCCAGACACAGGACACACCGGTGACGGCGCGTCGGGTACCCCCCGGATCCTGCACCCCGTCTGCAGCAAGAGGAGACTCCGCCAACCAGCAGAACAGAGAGGGGTTTATTGCTCCTCCAGGACACAGCCCAGCACAGGCGTGATGTGGACCTAAGGAGTCAGGGCCAGGCAGCCTCAGCCCCCTTGGGGTGGGGTCCACCGGCCCCTGGCCCCTCAGTACTCCGCTTAGTCTCCTCCCTTCATGTTCCCAGCCCAGACTGCCCCTTCTCCCAGCCACCCCCTCCTTTGTTCAGACCCCTTCCCTGGGCAGGTAAGAAGCGGTTGGGGCAGGGACTATGTGACATGAGGGTCCCCAGGCGACCCCGCTGGGCAGTGCTACAGACGCAGGCCAGCAGGGGTCACCCACAGCCCAAGATAGCAACCAGTGAGTGGCCCTCCCCCCACTGTCACCTCTCCCCCGGCTCAGAGCGAGCTGGGCAGGGTCGCTCAGCCTGTGGCCTGGGGAAGTTCAGGCTCCCCACCAGGTACAGCAGCGGCTGTGGCGTGGGTGCTCCCCTGTGCTTGGGCCGGCCATGACGCTGCCCTGCAGGAGCCGGCTCCCCCGTCCAGCTGCTTCACGGCTTTGAGGGGCCGGCGCGGGCCCCCACTCTGCGGTCGGACCAGCCCTTCCCCTCGGGCTCTGCCCAGGGTCTCTGGCCGGGCCCACGAGCTCAGTGAGCCTTTCCCGGAAAGCCAGGACGTCCTCCACCCCCGACTCTCCATCCCGGGAGGCCTCCCCCCCGTAACTCTCTCAGCAAGCCCGGGGGTCCTTCCCCCTCTGCACTGGCTCTGTCGGGGGGACCTGGCAGACCCTCGGGGCGCCTCCCCGTGTGCAGACGGGACCAGCCCTTCCCCTCGGGCTCTGCCCAGGGTCTCTGGCCGGGCCCACGAGCTCAGTGAGCCTTTCCCGGAAAGCCAGGACGTCCTCCACCCCCGACTCTCCATCCCGGGAGGCCTCCCCCCCGTAACTCTCTCAGCAAGCCCGGGGGTCCTTCCCCCTCTGCACTGGCTCTGTCGGGGGGACCTGGCAGACCCTCGGGGCACCTCCCCGTGTGCAGACGGCAGGTGGGGCAGGTACTTGTCCCAGTCCTGTGGATTCCAGTGCGTGAAGCCTCCAGCATCTGCTTCAGGGTCCCCGGCACCTCCCCACCAGCCCGCTGGGCCAGGCGCCCTACGCTGGGGCCCAGGGGAGCCGGACCCCGTGCGTCTCCCACAAGCACCAGAGCGGGGCCCACATGAAGTTGGATCCCTGGTCCGTGAGGACCTCCTGGGGGAACCCCACCCTGCTGAAAATGGCCAGCAGCACGTCTGCCACTGGGTCTGCCTCGAGCCATGGCCTCGGGGAGTTGGTAGCCAAATCCACCAGGATGTATGTTTTCCCCGGCCGGCTGGCCTGGCCAACAGGGGAGCCGGACCCCGTGCGTCTCCCACAAGCACCAGAGCGGGGCCCACATGAAGTTGGATCCCTGGTCCGTGAGGACCTCCTGGGGGAACCCCACCCTGCTGAAAATGGCCAGCAGCACGTCTGCCACTGGGTCTGCCTCGAGCCATGGCCTCGGGGAGTTGGTAGCCAAATCCACCAGGATGTATGTTTTCCCCGTCCGGCTGGCCTGGCCAACAGGCCCCAGTATCTCTATTGCTGCCTTCTGGAACGGCTCCTCTATGGTGGGCCGGCGCCTCAAGGCAGCTTCCCCCCGTGTCGGGCCGCCCGTGCCCCCTGGCAGGAGTGGCAGGCCCGGCCGGGCCGCTGCACGGCGCGAATATCCCCGGCCAGTAAAAGGCCTGAAGCAGCCTCAGCCGGGTGCGCTGGATCCCCCGGTGCCCTGTGAATGGGACGTCATGGGCCAGGTGCAGCAGCCTGGGGCGATATTTCTGAACCACCACGCCCCCCCTTCCCTGGGGGAGCCATTCCCCATACAGGACTCCCCCCTCCGCCAGGGCTGAGCTGTGCCGAGGCCAGTCCGGTCCCTCAGCGTCTGGAAGGAGGGGTCTGCCTGCCCCTCCGCCTGGAATTCCACAGCTGGGGCAGGGACCTGGCCCCCCTTGGCTGTGTCCGGGGCCCTAGCCCTGCTGAGCCCCGTGTCTGCTGGGATGGGGCCCTGAGCCCCCTGCAGGGAGCCTGCCCCTCGCTGGCCCTGGCTACGGGGGGTGACCAGGGTCCTGTGGGGTCCGTCTGGCCACTCCTCTAGGTCACCCCCACAGCACCTCTGTGGGCAAGTGCCCCCCAGTTCCTTAGGGCCCCCTTAGCCCCCATTTCAGATGCACCCGGGCTACGGGCACCTTAAACGGGACCCGTCCGTGCCCCTCAGGGTGGGTCTAGACTACAGGGTTTTGTCAACAGAAGTGGACTCGCCAAGAGGATCACTGGAAGGACAGACGGTTGCCTGCCTTTGAGGTGGCTGCTCCTCCCTCTCCCGCTTCCTGCCTGCCCCTCGGTGGCCCGTGGATACCGCTCGGGCGAGGCTAAGCACTGCTTACGCCCCAGGCATGGATGGGCAGGAGCAGCCGTTACCAGAGGGGGCCAGCCGGTTTCCCAGGGGGGGCAGCCGGTTTCCCAGACTCGCCTTCCCTCTTGCGCATGTCCAGGCCTGTCCTGGTACTTGGCGAATGTCCGGTACCCCGCTCCATGTGCTGGGCCCCGGGGTGGGTGCATGGTGTGTTAAGGGCCCATCTTTCTGCTGACACTGTTGTGTGTCGTCGTTGTCCGTGTC